TAGGCAAATATATACCTGTATGTACATGTACAGGTGTGCATATATATTTATAATTCTCACTTTTTGGATACATTTTAACAACCTATTCTGTAGCTTGGTCTTATGTTTTCTCACTTACTCAGCCAAATTATTCTAGAAACTACACCGCTACATTGCATATTGAGGTGGACTGTAACTTTTTTTTTCAGCCAGTTTTCTACCAACGGACGTTTGAGTTGATTCCAATCATTCACTGTTTTTGTTTTTTGCTGGTCTATGGTTGGGCAATATTTCAAGGCCTATGTCATTTTGCTACATGTTGCCAAATTCCTCTCCTTAGGAGATCTCTTTCATTTTGTATTCCCTTCACAATGTCTATGGAGAGTGGCTGCTTTCCCACAGAGGGATATTTAGTCTTTTAGTTGTTTGTAATTTGATACATTAGGTATAATGTTTCAATATAGTTTCAATGTGCATCTTTTTTTCTGTGAACTGTTTCCACCTCATCAATTTCCTTTTCTATTTTTATTTTATTTTCTGTGTTTTGAGTCAGAATTAGAAGTTATTCACATTTCTGGGTTATAAATGAATTGACCAATATCTTCATCAAGTAACTAAATATCTGTATCTATATCTATACTCACATAGATTGTATATATACAGCCATCCTTCAGTATCCATTGCTATTGGTTTTAGGTCCCTATAGACACACAAATTTGTAGTTGCTCAAGTCTCTAATGTAAAGTGATGCAATATTTGCACTAAACCTATGCATATCCTTCTATATATTTTATATATTTGAGAATACTTGTAATACTGTCTACAATAGGAATTCTACTATCTATTGAAGTCTGTTTTGTTTAGGGAATAATTTTCCTGGAATATTTTTAATCTGCAATTGGTTAAATCCTCAGATGTAGAAGTCATGGTCATGGAGATCCAAGTGTGTATATAGAAAGACATGTGTGTATGTGTGTGTGTGTGTGTGTATATATGTATATATATATGTATATATATATATATACACACACACAAAGGTGTATATATAATAAAATATATATAACAAATGTATTGTAAACACATAATATATGTATCATATGGAAACAGAAATATATGTAGACAAATCTTTGGACCAGTAGAGTACTGGGCTGGTCATGAAGCCCTGGATTGGGTTTCTGTCTCGATCTGTACTATTGTTGCCTAGTTGTCTCTTTCAGTTCTCAATTGACCAATCTCAGGATGAGGAGAAAGGACAGTTTGTAATTGCTATAAGACGAGCTACATAAATGGATGCTTTCTTCACTGTGTAAAAGTGGGAGTGGAGCTCTGTCATCAGTCCTTAGTCAGCTTCTGTAGGCAAGACTCAGCCAGGGAAGCCAGTTTCTACTTGGTAGGTTGCAGCTTGCCTTCTGAACTAAAGCAGTCATTCTGATCCTAAGAAATGCTTTACTCCCCCTGTCTTCTGAAAGTACCATAACCAGAGACCTTTGGTTTAATGAAATGTATGGACTTAGACTCTCCTTCACTGGTGTGGAGTAAATAAAATGCAAGGAGGACATGGACTGACATGGGTGACAGTCATGGTGTTTAGAGGAGTCACTGTGGAGACACTGGGAAACAGACCACACATTTTACAGACCACACATTTTGTAGACCACAAACAGACTCTAGCTTTCTAGCTTTGTGGGCTTCCAGGACAACAAGATGAAACATAACCTACTAGCAGATAACTTCCATTAAAGTCAGCTTAGCTAAATGAGCTTCTTGGAACATTTTACCCTTCTACTTGCCATGAGCATAGCTAGCTTTCAGAAACCTAAGTTACATAAATATTTGGATCAAGCCAGGAGCTCTGACTTAGGCCTTTCAAAAAAGATACTTAATTTAAAAAACAAAACCAGAAGTGTGGGCAATCAAGCTTTTAGAAGAGGACATTAAATCCTTTGAAGTTATGTCAAGCTATGCTGTGTCTCTAGTTTTATGGGACACATTTAGTGTTGGTGTTTTGGGAGCAAATACCCATGTATTTATTGCTTATTTTGTTTTTGTCAGTCATGGGGCTTGAACTCAGGACCTAGGTACTGTCCCTGAGCTCTTTTTTGCTCAAGGCTAGTGCTCTACCACTTTGAGCTGTAGCTCCACTTTTGGTTTTCTAGTGGTTAATTGGAGATAAGAGTCTCACAGACTTTCTTGCCTGAGTTGGCTTTGAACTGTGATCCTCAAATTTCAGCCTCTTGAGTAGCTAGGATTATAGCTGCGAGCCCCCAATGCCTGGAAACACATGTATTTCTCATGGCTATAGAATTACTCATGATGTGGAAGGCAGAGGCTGTGTTTTAACACTGTATCCTTTCAGGTCAGGAATCTTCTCTCACTGATACCCCTGGATTTCCAGAGCATCAGGGAAGAAACATTCTGTCCTGACCTTCTGCTTTCTTTAATGGAGTTAAAGGCAGATTAGGTAAATGCAGCCTCCTTAGCTTGTCTACATCCTGGTCTTTTCTTTCTCATCCCTTGTCAAGTCTCATCAGTTGTACTTGATGAACATCTCTTAATCTGGTCACCTGTTCTTTGCATGTACTCCCACCCTGGGAGTTTGAGACTTGCCTCTTCTTTCCTGCATCTTTGCAAGATACTATACAAACACTCTATTTTTTTTTTTACCTTGCTGTCAGTGGACTCATTGTCTTGATGATTAGTTTTATTTTTTTAGGGGGGGGGTTGGTCATGGGTCTTGAACTCTGGTCCTGGGATCTCTCTCTCAGCTCTTCAGCGCAAGGCTAGCGCTTTACCACTTGAGCCACACTACCACTTCCGGTTTACTGGTTTAATGGAGGTGAGAGTCTCATGGACTTTCTTGCCCAGGCTGGCTTTGAACCACTATCCTCAGATCTTAGCCTCCTGAGTAGCTAGGATTATAGGTGTGAACCACTGGCTCCTGGCTGATGATTAGTTTTTTAATTTATAAAGGAAAGGAGTTTATTTTGCTTAGAGTTCTGGAGGCTGAGAAGCATCTAGGTTGGAACTGGCAATTAGTAAGATCCTCGTACTATGTCATGATACCAAGGGCAGAAAAGCGAACCTCACTGGGATCCACCTAAGTCATGGTCACAATTGCAACCATGCTCACTTGTTGGTTAAGACCCTGTAGTGGTCTGGCTGACAGGATAAAAGTCCAGATTCTTTGGATTGATATAATAGCCCCTTCATCATTTGCCTTCTGTCTGTCTCTGATACACTTGCTGTAGTGGGACACCATTTGTCCACTTTGGTCAGCTTTGCTGGGTCTTTCACTACCCAAGCTGTTTTGAAACTTCAGAGTTTCTCCAGAAAGAGTCTCTGTACTTTTCTCAATAATCCTGAGCATACCTTGACTGGCCTATGTTGTGTTTCTTACCCTGGATTACTGATTATAATAAAGAAGAAACCAAAGGCAGACAGAGTCTGTGTATTGGAGAGCCTGGGTTAGAATCTTGGCTCCAATTTTCATTTACCTATTGTGTGATCTTGGACTCGAGTCCTCTAAGCAGCCATTTTCACCATCTGCCTTCCTGATAGTTTTGGAAGGATTAAATGACATTTGTGAGTTAGTCACCTAATCCTACCTGATGAGAACTCCGTACACGGTTGTCTGCTATCCCTTCATCTGTTGCACCCGCTCTGAGGAAGCATCATTGAATTAATGAGTGATGGTCAACAGCCTTTACTTCTTTCTTGAGAAATAGTTCTGGTACATCCTGATTAGTGTCAGAATTAAAAATTGGCTATGTGCTTGGTCAATGAAGACTCTCTAGAGCGAGACAATCATTGATGAGAGTTGTTCAGGAGATGTGAGGAGGGGAGGGGTGGCAGAGGAGTGTTTCTGTGTTGTGACATTGATAGTACAATTAACTTGAGAAGGTTTCCTTGGGGCAGCCTCTTTCCACATGGACATACCTGAAACACCATCCGAGGAAATGTAATGATAGCTCCAAGATAGTCAGTACTTAAAGGTAGAGAGATAATTATATCCTCTTGATATGCTCAGCTTTATAGGAAATGAGACTCACAAAAAGAATAACTCAATGGAGCATAAAGAGAAATGCACATCGTTTTTATGAGCTAAGTTTTCAGTGGGTAGGCTGGGGGCCAAGTGCAGAGGAGATTGCCTTTTCTGTACCCTGAGCCAGGGTACAGGGAAGAGAAGGGCACAAGTCTGCCATCAGCTAGCCCATCACATCAGAGCTGTGCATTCTCAAACATGGGGGACCTCTTGGTCGGGACTGTAAAGACATATGTATTGTGTAAGTGATCTAGAGTGTGTTGGCGTTTGGGCATCAGAGATGGGAGGTGATGTTTGACAGCTTAATAAATGATGAAATAGGAATCAGAATTCTCAAGAACTCTATAGCAGCCCTTTTTGCTTTCTGGAAAAGTAATAGATCTTTAAAGTCAAGCTTTTTGTTTGGTCAAGCACCACTATTGGGGCTTGAACTCATGGCCTGAGTTCTGTCCTTTAGTTTTCTTGCTCATGGAGTCACAGCTCCATTTCTGTCATTTTGCTGGTTAGTTGGAGAAAATGAGTTCCAAGGACTTTCTTCCCTAACTGGCTTTGAACAGCAGTCTTAAGATCTCAGCTTCTTGTGTAGCTAGGATTACAGGTGTGAGCCGACAGTGTCTAGATTCAAACTCAGCTCTTTGAAAAAGTATCTGTTTTGCCTTTTTTCTTATCAAAATATGTAATCATACATATGTTATATATGATATATATTAATCTATTTTATTTATATTGTGTTTATATATTTTATGCAATAACATTATACTGTATTTATATTTACATTTATTTTATCTTATCTTAATATATAAATATAACCATATATATTCACATGAACATATATATGTATGCATATATATATATATATATATATATATATATATATATATATATGGCTTTGCTTTTAGTGTAGCCCATCATCCTGGGAAAAAGAAGCTTGAAAAGTGAAAGCTGGGACCCAGTATAATCCTATTTATGTTCCTTCAAGGTGCTGCATGATCTGCCTTGTCTCCCTTCCCAGCCAGCACTCCGCCTCCTGTGTCCATCATGGTGTTTGGTGAGTTTTTCCATCGCCCTGGACCAGACGAGGAGCTTGTCAACTTGAACGTGGGGGGCTTTAAGCAGACGGTGGATCAGAGCACGCTCCTGCGGTTCCCTCACACCAGACTGGGGAAGCTGCTTGCCTGTCACTCTGAAGAGGCCATTCTGGAGCTGTGTGATGATTACAGCGTGGCCGATAAAGAGTACTATTTTGATCGGAACCCCTCCTTGTTCAGATACGTATTAAATTTTTATTACACGGGGAAGCTACACGTCATGGAGGAGCTGTGTGTATTCTCCTTCTGCCAGGAGATCGAGTACTGGGGCATCAATGAGCTCTTCATCGACTCCTGTTGTAGCAGCCGCTACCAGGAGCGCAAGGAGGAAAGCCACGAGAAGGACTGGGACCAGAAGAGCAATGATGTGAGCACCGACTCCTCCTTTGAAGAATCCTCTCTGTTTGAGAAGGAGCTGGAGAAGTTTGACCAGTTGCGATTTGGACAACTCCGGAAAAAAATCTGGATTCGGATGGAAAACCCAGCCTACTGTCTATCGGCCAAGCTGATTGCCATCTCCTCTTTGAGCGTGGTTCTGGCTTCCATTGTGGCTATGTGCGTCCACAGCATGTCTGAGTTCCAGAATGAGGACGGGGAAGTGGATGACCCCGTGTTGGACGGGGTGGAGATTGCCTGCATCGCCTGGTTCACCGGAGAGCTTGCCATCCGGCTAGTTGCTGCTCCCTGCCAAAAGAAATTCTGGAAGAACCCTCTGAACATGATTGACTTTGTGTCCATTATTCCCTTTTATGCCACGTTGGCCGTAGACACCAAGGAAGAAGAAAGCGAGGACATTGAAAACATGGGTAAGGTAGTCCAGATCCTCCGGCTCATGAGGATCTTCCGAATTCTGAAGCTGGCCCGGCACTCAGTAGGCCTTCGATCTCTCGGAGCCACGCTGAGACACAGCTATCACGAAGTGGGGCTGCTGCTGCTTTTCTTATCCGTAGGAATTTCCATCTTCTCCGTGCTGATCTACTCTGTGGAGAAAGATGACCACTCATCCAGTCTTACCAGCATCCCCATCTGCTGGTGGTGGGCCACCATCAGCATGACAACTGTGGGCTATGGAGACACCCATCCTGTCACCTTGGCTGGCAAGATCATCGCCAGCACCTGCATCATCTGTGGCATCTTGGTAGTGGCGCTTCCTATCACCATCATCTTCAACAAGTTTTCCAAGTATTACCAGAAGCAGAAAGACATTGACGTGGACCAGTGTAGTGAGGAGCCACCAGAGACGTGTCATGAGCTACCTTACTTTAACATTAGGGACGTGTATGCGCAGCGGGTGCAGGCCTTCCTTGCGAGTCTGTCTTCTGTGGGCATCGTGGTGAGCGATCCTGAGTCCACAGAGGCTTCAAGCATTGAAGACCATGAGGATGTTTACCAAGCTGCATCCTTGGAGAAATGCACAGTCAAATGAGCAGGGACATTTGTGCCTGTATCTTGTGTCCCTTCCCGACATTAGGTTAACAGAGCTTTATAAACCTCAATGGGTTTGTTAAAAAAAAAATCATGTAATTCTCAGGGTGTACCTTTTAGCCATAGTTGGACATTCATTGCTGAATTCTGAAATGAGAGAATTATCTTTATTTTTCTCAATTAAATGCCTTGTTCTGAAATTTATTTTTTACAAGAGAGAGTTGTGATACGGTTTTGGGGGAAAAAAAAGGTAACTGATATTGGGTGGGATTAGTTGCTACGGCTTGTATATCATTCTGTGTTTGTCATTTACTCACATTGAGCTAACTATAACTTACTGATGAGTAGAATCAGAGGCCCAGCTGACTGAAGAGTACATGCATGTAAGATCCACAACATGAGACAATGCATGTAAATCCATGTTCATGTTCTAGGCATGGAAATTAGGAGCCCAATAAACGTCCTAATTCAGTACGGAGAATGTCTTGGATGTTTTTATGTCGAGAAAGTAAGCATGCATGTGGTTGGGACATACAGATGAAATATGAACTCTTTCAGATATATTTCCAGCACATATTTTTATTTTTGGATGATACTGGGTTTGCACTCTGGGCATCATACTGAGGCAGGTTCTCTACTGCTGAACCATGCCTCCATCCCATTTTTGCTGATTGTTTTAAAGATAGAGTCTTTTTTTTTAAGTAAGTTTTTTTTTTATTGTGAAAATACCATATGGAGGGGTTACAATTACATGAGCAAGGTAATGAGTATACATATAGAGTCTTGTTCCCTGTTCAGGCATGATTCTGGACCACAATTTTTCCCATTTTAAGCTTTCTGTAGTTGCTGGGATAATAGAAGTGTGCCCCTGTGTCCAGCTTCCCTCCACTGAGCTGGAGTCTCTTGGACTTTTCTGCCCAGGCTGGCCTGAAACTGCAGTCTTCCCATTCCAGCCTCCCTGTATTTTAGGCTGACAGCCATGTGCCACTGTTGCCTTCTATGGGGTGAGAAAGGGTCTTGTGAACTTTTCTGCCCAGATTAGCTTCAAACTGTGATCCTTCTATTCTCAGCATCTCAAGTATTGGATTTTATAATATTGAAAAATATTGTTGTAATATTTTCTGCTTACTGCTAGGATACATAAAACCCACATCACCTGAAAATTATCCAGAAGAAGATAAACCTACACACACTCACAGTCAGAGACCCATTCAGGAGGTGGAAGGAAGGAGGAATACACAAACACAGGGATGTGATTTATTATGGCCAGAGGAATGAAATGTAAATGACCAAAAAAGCTTTGCCAACAGCTCTAAAATGAGCCAACGTTTTCAAATCACCGCAGAGGTGTGATGGCTGCATCTTACATAGAATTCCCTGAGTACCAAAGGAGAAATTCATAATCATTGTCAGCAGTGACAGAGCAATTCCACCCTGTATGGGGAGAACTTAGTGGTAGCCTTCATTTTGGCAATCTATGGCTCTGCTAACTCACCTTGTCAGGCTGTCTGCACTGTTCTTTCCCTGTGCTCTTCTGGATGGAGGAGCCACATGGATTTATTTTCCAACCTTTAATGCTTAGGGATGTGTTTCAAAGAAGGATGTTATCAACGTTTTCGCTCTTCATTCCTGCTAAAGTGCCAGTGGCTTTTGAGGTGGACTTACTGAAGCAAGGCGCTTAAGTTTGATTTCTTTGGGTGATACTGGAGTTTGAGCTCAGGATCCTAACACTCAGTTTGCTAGCTCAGCTGCTGCTCTATTACTTGAGCCATGCCTCCAGCCCAGCTTTTTGCTGGTGAATTGGAGATGGACTCTTTTAGACTTTTCTTCCCAGGCTAGCTTTGAACTGAGACCTTCCAGACCTCATTCTCCTGAGTAGCTAGGATTCCAGGTGTGAACATCAGCTCAGGTAGAATCAGATCGCTCTTTTAAAGCTGGAGCTTTATTATATGTATGTGTGTCATCTATTGCTCAATTGAAAAAAAACATGTTTCTCAAAATTTTCTTTTGATGTTGGGATAAATGTAGTTTTGAGCCATGGCAAACTTTACAGCCTCATTTTATTAAGCATTTCCTAAGTAGTAGTGAATTCTGCTTAAACAGTGATTGTACTAATATCCCCCCCCTCCCAATAATAATAATGGGTGAGTTCACTGAGCCCTTTCCCTAGATGATCTCATTTATTTTCAGTTTCCTAATAGCCAGGGTGAATTACTGTTTGCATTTGAAGCTGTGACAATTAAGGCAGACAGGGACAGTAGTTTGCTTAAAGTCACACAGTGAGAAACAGAGTTGGGCTCTGAACCCACAGAGTCTGGGCGTTGAACTGCCATGAGAGAGCGGATGTAAGGAAACATAAAGAGATAAGAGAGCAGCCAGCGCTAGTGTCAGAGTTTGATTTTTCTAGTACGTGAGTCAAAGGAATAATGCTGGCTTGTGTACCTGTGCTTTCCTGATCCAGAAACTAAGCACTATTTTTTTTTTTAATGGAGACAATTATCTAGAATGTCCCTAGAGCTGGAGCAAGGCCTGGAGGATCCTCTCCTTGAGGATACCTAGTGGCAGACCTGGGGGAAAGCTGTGACTACATGCATTCAGGAACGCCTCTTGACTGGTGGGAGCTGAGGGGGATGAATAGGTCAAAGCGCTGCCTGTGCTTATGTGGATTCCTGGAGCAGTTTGTGTGTGGCAGTACCTTCCTCCTGGGCAGGACCAGCTGCAGTCTCTCCCCCAGAACCTTCTCATCCTGCTCCCTGCCATCAGAATCAATACCATCACAGACTCTAGTGACAGGTTTTTAGTGCCTTGCATTTAACTGAGCGCATCCGTTACCCATAGCCTCTTGTCCATTCCATGGTGGGCCCTTCATTTAGGAAAGATGGAGTCAGTGGCTAAATCCTCACTACGCAGGGATGCTGGGAAAGCCTGGGCTATAAAAGCCAGACAACCCAACCTGACGTCTAGTAGTGGCGATTTTTGTGTTGCTGGTCACAGTGGGGCCAGCTCAGGGACTTTTATTTTAGGATGCTTTCAAATTCTTTGTCTCTTATTTGTGACTCCTTCCAGTTCCTCAGATTTATTTTCCTTCCTTCCTTCCTTCCTTCCTTCCTTCCTTCCTTCCTTCCTTCCTTCCTTCCTTCCTTCCTTCCTTCTTCTCTTTCCTTTCTCCCTTCCCTTCCCTTTCCCTTTTCTTTTCCTTTCCCTTCTCTTCCCTTTTATTTTCTTTAATTTTCTTTCTTTGCTCGTCCTGAAATCTGGGAACTGCTTCCGAGCTTTTTCACTCAAAGCTAGCACTCTACCATTTAAACTACAGCTCTACTCCTGGCTTTTTGGTGGTTAATTAGAGTGTCAGGGACTTTCCTGGCTCTACTGGCTTTGATCCAGGATCCTCAGATCTCAGCCTCCTGAGTAGCTAGGATTACAGAAGTGAGACACTGGTGTGCAGCTACAGGGGCTTTTATGATATTTCGATGATTTTGAAATCAGTCAAGGACCTATGCCAACAGGTGGTTATTCTCCTTCCTGGCCTAGTGCCAAAACAGAAAAGGAGGGGGAGAGAGGAGGGGGTTGGGAAAGAGAGAGAGAGAGAGAGAGAGAGAGAGAGAGAGAGAGAGAGAGAGAGAGAGAGAGAGGGAGGGAGAGAGAGAGAGAGAGAGAGAGAGAGAGAGAGAGAGAGAGAGAGAGAGAGAGAGAGAAATTGGGAAGCTTCTTGGAGGAGGTGAAGTGAGCTGTTTGGGGTCTGGCTCTCTGGGAGTCAGTTAGCTGTTGGGGCCACTGGATAGGTAGTGCGTTGCCAACCAGCTCCCACCTCCTGCCCACAGGCTCAGCTTGCTGATCTCTGCCTCCGTGGCATCTCTTTCTCCCCCTTTGCTGTACTGCACACATTAGTGTAGTAAAAGTGTCTCTCACCTTTAAATGTGCTGACAACCCCCACAGGCACCCCTGCCCCGCCCTGAGAAGTGGGGAGGTAGTATGTGTTGTAGCTTTGTTTGCTCTTCTTGTTTTGTTTGCCAGAAATGTTTAATCTTTTAATAGCTTTTGTACATGACTAAGCTCTTCTTCATGTGTCAATTTTATATTTAACCCAAGTGTTTGGGGTTATGGTAGGCCACTCACTGCCATGGAGTCTGTAAGCTTTGAGACCTGTGTTGTTTCATGGAGATGGATGGTTATTACTCAAGAGTATTTTACTATCATTCAGGGAGTGATTTGCACCCTATAGAATTGCCAATACCTATCATTTTTGACCAAGAATAATAGCAATCTCAATATGGTTCAAGTTAGTGCTGAGTTTGCCTTGTGTTAGTAAAAAGCCATTTCTCAAGCTCCTAGACAAATGTATGAAAAAAGAAGGAAGGAGGGGGACCTGGGACCCCCGATGCCTCTCACAGCTGCAGATCGGGCCAGGCAGCTCCTCTGAGTTTGTTTTCTCAGATTGGAGGTCAGTAGACTGATTTTTGGGATCCTCTCTGTCCTCACATTTAACAGAACTTATGTTGTTTCCAAATTGGCTAGTTTCCCCTTTTCCTCTTTGCTTATATTATGCATGTTTATAATAAAACCTTTTTTTTAAAACCTGCCATTTAATTTTCCCTATCTTTTCTGCCAATTAGAGTGCTAGCCAATGAGATTTTTTTTTTTATTATTTGGGGCATGTGGGAGTTGGCAATCTTAAAAGTTCAGTTAATCAAAATATTTGAAAATCTGGCTGTGATGGAGTATATCTATAAGCCCAGTTTCTTAGGAGCTGGGGTTAATAGGATTACAAATTCCAGGCTAGACTGGGAAAAAGTAACACTAGACGCTCTCCCCCAAACAAAATAAAATGAAAGGCTGGGAACGTAGCTCAAGAGGTAGGACATTTGTCTCACAGGATCCTGTATTTGAAGCCTAATACAGAGGAGGGAGAGACAGACAGAGATAGAGAAGAGAAATTTGCAAAAGGTCATTAATTTCCATAGGTCTGGTGACAGGGGTGAAGGCACCTAGAACGCCAGCAGGAGGTTGAATAAGAGGGCTAGTGCATCAATAAACAAATGATTTCAGTTTGTTTTCAAATCACTAGTGGCTTAGTCTTGGTCATTTCAACATCTTCACTTTGTCCTGCTCACAGAGAATGCCAAAGCTTTGAGGAATACAGAGAAGAGATGAGCGGAAAGAGAAAAGGCAGGGAGACCTTAGACAGCCAAGTACTGCATGCAGCCATAGAATGTGGCTGGTGGATGGAACGTAGGGATGGTCTTCCCTGATTCCTGTTTCACAGTGAGGATCAGGAGTGGATCGCCTAAAGCAACACAGTGACACAGAGACCAAATCCAGACCAGAACACAGCTGCAGCTCCAGGCTTCCTTCCCTCCCTGGTTATTATTATAACCATTTTCAAACATGTGCGAAAGTGTCACACATGGCTTCGTGTGCCTCCATGTGCCTGTCACCCAACTTCAGCAGTGATGATCTCTGAAACTTCATTTAGCTCTC